GTGAGGACGAGCTTGTGGGGTGGTCGCTGCCTGGTTGGTTTGACCAGCCTGGGCTGTGTGGCCACAGCGGTGGTGACACCGAGGGTTCCTTAGCACTTGCTCTGAGCACCGTCAGCGGGACAAGCTCTTACCACGTGTGCTTGCTCCATCCTCCCCAGAACTTTGTGAGCTCAGGACTGTTAGTCCCCCCCGAGGGGCAGAGGACCCCAGGGCCGGGAGCTGAGGTTACTTGTCCAGGGTCACAGAGCAGAATGCACGGTGGCCTGGGACTTGGACCCAGGCCGTGGGTACTCCAGTGCGTGTGCTTGGTCCTCGCTGCACGCTGCCCCGGGCTTACTACCTACAGTGTGGATTCTGGGTATCAGGAGCTTTTTCTCCCACATTGCACGTTACTTCATTTCTTCATCGTTAAAAAGCATGGACTTGGGCCGGCGCCGCGGAAGGAAGACCTGTCTCTCTCTCACTGTCTAACTCTGCCTGTCCAAAAAAAAAAGGCATGGATTTGTAAAGCCAGTGGAGGGAGGGATGGCTTCCTGGGGCTTTGGGAACTGCTTGTTCAGGTGGAGTTGCCCAGGAGTGGGGACCGGCGTCCTGCCTTCCCCGTTGGTGCGTGATTCTCTGACTCTGTGTGTTCCTCTCACTGGGACCCCGGCCTGCCGGGAACTGTTGGAGCCGATGAGCCAGAGGCTGCCCTGGGGAGTGAGCAACTTGGCATACAGATGCCAGCGGTGCCTTATTTCCCCTCCGCGGTCGCCTTCCTGCTGCTCTCTGGCCTCCTGGGTAGTCGGGCGGGCTGGCCTGCCTTTGCCAGGACGCGCGCAGGGCCTCGCTGCCCTGTAGGTTGGGCGTTGGATGTGCTGGTTTCCGTCTGTTTCACTTTAGGAACCGCAGGGTGTCCTCAAAGACATAAAAGGTGGCAGAAGCAGTCCGCGGGTCCCTGCAAGCCAGAGCAATGACGTATGTGGGAACCTCAAGATGCCAGGACCAGCTCCCGCGGCCGGGGTGCAGTGTGGCCAGGTCCAGGTGCTGCAGGTAAGAGCCAGGAGCCCCTGCGGTCTGCAGAGGGCAGGAAGGGGCTGTCCCCTCGGTGAACTGCCCCCCCCCCAGCATCCTCAGCGTCTCCTCAGAAGCCCAGCTCCTCCCTTGTCTGCAGCCTGTGACCCTGTATCTGGGGCCACTCCCCCCCACCCAGGCCTCTGGTGGCTGTCTTGCCACGGGACAGTGTCAAGCCCCTCACGCTGTCCTGCCCCTCCCAGACCAGGCCCAGCTTTTCCCTTCCGGCCTGGGATCGGGGGTCCTCAGGCGGAGCTGACCGTGCCCTCTCTCGGGACTGCTCAAAGCACACCAGTAACTTGTGTGTGTGAGAAGAGGGAAGAGCCTTACTGGGTTTTTTCCTTCCCTGGCGCACTGAGCCCCTCCAGGTCAGTCTCAGCCACCTCTCAGACTGCCTGGGCCCAGGGGCACCTGCAGCCGGCAGCCATCGTGCCAGAACCCCGGGAATACCAATTTTGGTCTCATTGTTGCTTTTCTAGGATTTATTTATTTGAAAGGCAGAGTGACACAGATCATCTGTCTGCTGGTTGACTCCCCAAATGGCCACAACAGCCAGGTCTGGGCCAGGCCGAAGCCAGGGGCGTGGAACAGCATCCGAAGCCGTCTTCCAGTGTTCTTCCAGGCTCCCAGGCAGGGAGGTGGATCAGAAGCCGAGCAGCCGGGACTCAGACTGGCTCTCAGATGTGGGGTGCAGGTGTCGCAAACAGTGGCTGTCACAGTGCTGTCCCTGGTCTCGTGAGGGGCGGGAAGAGAGAGGTGAGCTTTGGGGAGAGAAGAGATTAGGAAAATGAGGACTCACAGCTTTGAGCTGGCCTGGTCCTTGCCACCTGTCGCTGTACTTCCCCCAGGGACAGGTTCCCCTCGTGCAGCACAGTGCAGCACAGCTCCAGGCAGCAGAGGGCGTCCAGAGCTCCGCTCCGCTTCCGAAGAGGAGACAGGAGCGCCCAGAGGCTGTAGCCCAGGAGAGGCTGTAGCCCGGGAGAGGCTGTAGCCCGGGAGAGGCTGGGGCGGATGAGCTGGGGTGGAGGGGGGAAGGCAGGCCAGCCCAGGTAGAGGCTGGGCGGGGTGCTGGGGAGACCTTAGGGGCTCATCTGCGGAGATGCGTGGGGCACAGTGTCCATTCGCAGCCGGCAAACAGTGCTCCCCAAAGATTGGGGCAGAGAAAGGGCTGGAGGACCCCTGAGGGAACAAGGATCCTGGCCGGGAGGTCAGCGTGGAGGCTCCCAAGTGTGAAAAGCTGGCATCAGTGCAGGGCAGTGGAAGGGCGGGGCTGTTTCCTGAGGCTGAGGCCAGGGAAACCGGGGCTTGAACCCCACTCATGTCTCCTGGGGGTTAGCCTACTCGTGGGAAAGACACGGGAGCTCTCTGCACCTTAGCGTCACTGTCGCGGGAGTGGCGCCCAGGGCTTCCACACGGGGCATCCTCGATGCGCCATAAGCGCTGGGGATGGGGGCAGAGGCCCTGGGAGCTCTGTGTTGGGGCTGTGCGCACAGGTGGAGGACAGGGACATCCTGAGCCGTGTCCCTTTGTCCACCAGCTGACGCGGCTCTCCGGAACCCTGCCACCGACCTGCTACCTTGTGGGTGCTCTGATGGAGCACGTTGTCTGTGTGCTCTGAGAAGGGAGGACTTGGGGTGGCACCTGCCCCCGGGAGGGGTTGGGAAACAGCCTGTCGGGCGGCAGGGGGAGGGCCAGGGGCCTGAGGCGCCAGGCCCAGCGTGGTCCGTTGAGCCTCAGGCTGGGATGAGGGTGGAAGGACATGGACCAGACAGGGGCAGGGAGCCCCCAGGTCCTGATGCCGGTTGTGTATGGATCCCTGGGCCTTCCCTGGTGCAGGTGCCGCCTCCCCAACAAAGGAGGATGTGGGCAGATTTGGGGGAGCCTGCAGGGCAGTGTGCAGCATTGCTGGGCTCAGCTTCCCAAACAGGTGGTTGCCTCCCCAGGGTGACCCCCCCCAAGGTGAAAGGCTCGCTGACTGCCCGCGACCCCCGGCCCTCTGCCTGCCACGCCTTCCTCACCATGGACTTGCCCGTCTGCGCCCTGCAGGTGGGTGCCCGACAGCTCCTTGCTTTTCTTCTGAGACTGTTCAGGGCCTCCAGCTTCTAGAGGCTGGCATGACCGCGTGGGCTGGTGCCTGGGGCAGCCTCCCCGCAGGGCCCACAGGGCACAGGAAAGGTGGCGGATGACTGGACTGAGAGTAAAGCTCCCCACGGTAGCGCCTCCCTGTCACCCAGGTTTGGTATACTCTTGAACTATTTCTGTACTGAAAAACTTGAGTTCCTGTCTCCTGTGGGAAGTGGGCCCGGCAGTTTGTAACGTGCGTGAGAACAGAGCCAGACGGACTCCAGAGCTGGCTTAGCTCCGTGGTTAAGGCGGGACCAGGTGGCAGCAGGTGGTCACGGGTGGGGGTGTGGCAGGGAGCTGCCCAGGTAGCTGGCAGACTGGCTCACTGCGGTCCCTTTGCCACCTGCCGAGCTGGGGAGGGGGATGCAGAGCTGAACAGAGACGACCGTGTGTTGTGAACAGGTGCTAGAGAATGTGTGTATGGAGCATGGTTTCCTTCTTCCCATTTTCCTCAAGGAGCAAGTGTCGGAGGGGCAAGTTCCTCCTTGCGTTTGTTCAGGAACCGGCTGGGGCGGCGCTCTTGAGCGCTTCGGCACGGCAAGGGTCACCCTCAGCCAGGCACCCACCTGTCCCGCCCTGGGCTGTGGGTGTTACAGCCCTTCCTACCATGTCCCCCGGGCTCTGAGCCACGCAGCACAAGCATTAGGAAAAGCAACGCAGGAAATAGGGCAGGGTGCCGGCCGCCTAGTCCACCGCAGCTGGGCGTGCAGCGAAACCAAAGAGGTCTCTGAGCCCCAGGGTTGGGCCTTTTGCAGGGGAGAGCTATGCAGTCCTGCCGTATCTCTCCAAGAGCTGGCGGCAGGCTGTTTCCCAGCATGCACCAGTCGGTTTTGCCACGGGAGAGGGCCGAAGTGGAACTGTTGCCACAGTAGCGCCAAACTCACACACGCAGGCTGGCAGACCAGACGGGCAGCTGGTGTTGGCAGGTGCCGAAAGGGCCAACTGGGCTGTCAGTGGCCCGTGATCCCCCTCTCTCCCCCCGTGCCCAGTGTGCAGCTCCCAGTTTGGGGCTGGTCGAGTCACAACTTCTAAAGTAACTTTTTGTAGATTGTTCATTTGGGTACTGCTGTGAATAGCAACTTGACAGGAGTTTGTGTATACAACGACGTGTGTAGGGCTGTAACAGTTGTCGGGGACGATGTGTGCAGGGCACGCCCAAGTGTGCTTTTGCAAGGGAAGGTTGGTCTCGCAGTCAGATGGGCACTGGCCTTGCACAGACTTGTTGGGTGCCCGACTGGACACAGGGGCGCTCGGAATACATTTTTTCCTTTTTTTGGCCTCGTGCCTTTTGAAGTGTATTTGTTCAGTCGCTCTGCAGGTTCTGCCTTGGTCTCCTCCACTCTCTGCCCGTTCTGTGCTTTTGTTTCCTGAATTTGGGGACTTTGGGGGCTGGGGTGGTCCTGCATGAGGGTCTCGCAGGCTGAATCCAGGCAGCCACGTGGGTGGTGCTGACATCACGTCCCCTCCCGCGTGGAATTAGCCTCTGTCTCCCAGGGAGCAGCCGGTTTAGATGGACGCCGAGGGAAGGGGTGAGTGCAGAGGGGGCGCTGAGGTTTGCTAACAGCGGCTGCTTCCGTGAACAGACCCTGAGTGATGTGTGCGCGTGCACGAGCGTGATTTCCTGGCCGTGAGGGCGCCTACGCGAGTGTATTTCCTGGAAGAAAGGATGCATACGCCAGTGCGTTCCAGGGGAGCGAGGCAGTGTGCACGGGTGTATTTCCTGGGCATGAGAGTGCACACAGAAGTGTAGATTCTGGGAGCAAGGGAGCATGTGTGAATGCCTGGGAGGTGTGTGTGGGGGGGTGCTGTGTATTTCCAGGGAGCAAAAAGGTGCACGCGGTGTCTTTCTGGGCCGAGGGTGGGGGGATGGGGTGGCGTGGTGGCGGACACACAGGTGTGCGAGTGTTTGCCGAGAGCGAAGGTGCGCACGTGAATGTATTCCTGGGGGCCAGGGGATACCGCGGGAAGCCGGGAGGGTGCCATCAGACCACCCAAGACCCAGCCCAGCCTCCGAGTCCACTGCTGCTGACTTTGCCGAGCCCTCAGCCAGAGGCCGATTAAGTGAAGAAGAACAGCATCTCGTCGTCCTCGTCGTTTTCCGCCTGCTTCTGCTTCGGGGTGCCCTTGGTCTTGACCGTCGGCGGCTGGGATCGGCACAGCAGCTTTCTGCCTCTCTGCAAGGGGGAAGATGGGCTGGTGGGCCGTGCCGGCGGCATCACGGGGCCCTGAGTCTGCCCAGTGCTGACCAAGCATAGCCGGCACAGCACCGCCCCTTTGGGGTGGTGTGTGTGTGTGTCTGGGAGATAGCCAGCTGCACAGTGAAGCCATTTCCTGGGCTATGGGGTTAGAGGCTCCCCTGCCGCCGCGGCAACTGCCCTTCCCCGAGACAGGCGACAGACAGCACCGGTCTCCATAGAAAGCAGCGGGTGGGCCTCGGGCATCTGTCAGGGAACATGCTCAGCTCTGGGCCTGCTCTAGGGTCTGGGCTTCCTGCTGCCAGGGCCCCCATGGCGTGGAGGCCTTGGAACTCAGCAATCGGGGAATCCCAGTGACAGTGAACTTGGCTTGGGGTCCTGGCTGGAGTGTTGACGGAACAGTGAGACTCTGGAGGGCTGAGCCGTGGGTGGGGGCTCAGTGAGCTGAGTGCCTGCCCCTGGCAGGGATGGAGGGGCACGTCTGGGCCAGGCAGCAGCCAGGAGTGAGGGTGAAGGAGACCTGGCCCAGGTCTCAGGCTGACAGCTGGAGGAGGGCATCTTGGAAGAGACAGGGCCAGGGGGCTGGGGGCGGGAGAGGCAGTAGACGTGGCCACAGAAGACCCTGCTCCTTCCTGGCCCTCCTCTCACTCCCCCTGGGAGCCTCAGTGGCAGCGTCTGCAAAGGAAGCTGCAGGACCCCCGGCCACCCCTGCCCACCTTCTTCTTGATCTCGGCCTGGGCCCGGGCCTGGGCCCGCTGCAGACGCTCCTCCTGCAGCTGCTTCTGCAACCTCACTGTCTCCTCCCGCAGCCTGCGTGTTGGGGAGATGGCACGAAGGGCTGGAGGGGCCCCAAGAGGCTCCCCGGAAGCCCCTCTTCCTCTGCTCGCCGGCTCTCAGCCCTCATCCAGCAATTGACGGCCAGCTGGCACCCACTGCCCCTGCCACGTGACTCTCAGCACCCACCTGCCGCTCTTCCCTCCAGCACTGCCAGCCCTCCCCCTTGTCCCTGGTCCTCCAGGTCCAGGTTGTGCTGTCCTCATCCTCCGGCCTCTCGTCTCCCCATCACTGTCACCGTCCCTCCCTCTATTCCCGATGCTGACTTCCGTCTCCTGCCTGGCGCCAGGGGCTCCGTCTGCCTGCGAGCTCTCTGAGGGCGGGGCAGCTCCGGCCCTGCCGGGCGGGGCCGGGCACTCGCCTCAGACGCCGCTCCTTCTCCTTGGCCTTCTCCACCTGCTCGACCTTGGACTGGGGCACGCGCTCCAGGTTCTCGAGCAGCTCGTTGAGCTGGTGCTCCACGATGGCCAGCATCTGCACGGTGCTCAGGTTGGCCTCCTGCTGGCTGCCGACGCAGTGGTGGTACACATCCAGCACCTTGTGGTTCAAGCTCTCCAACAGCTTGTCCTGCGCACGGATGCACGAGGGCGGCCTCCAGCGGGGCGGCGCGCCAGCCTCCCAGGGTGGGGAGCGCCGCCCACCTCACAGCGGGTGCTTGGGGATGTGGGTTTGGGACCTGGCCAGAGCAGCTCAATGCTTTGACCTCCAGTGGGTACTCAGATCTGGACTCCCAGCCTGCACCAGGGCTCACCCTGGCTCGGCCCCTCCCCCAGCTGCCCTTGGAGAGCCCGCTGAGGCCCAGTGCCCACCTCCCTGGAGGAGCTCCCCACAGAACCGTGTCCTGTGTGGCCATGGGCAGGTCAACTCCCCTCCTGGATCTGCTGTGACATTTCGGAAGCATGGCTGCCACTGCCCCCTTTCTGTGGGCAGAAGGGCCTAGCCCAGGCCCCAGGACACAGCACGGGCCCAGCCTCGGCACTTGGTAGTGTGGGAGTGACTCAGGAAGAAAGTAGATTAAGGAGAAACGAATGAGATTCCAGAGGTGCGGTCATCATGGGAGTACACCGAGGCCTTGGCTGGCTCTCGGCCCTGCTGTCCCCTCACCATCCTGTCACCTTCCTGGGCTGGCCTAGGGGCACACCTCCTCCCCTCCCCCAGGGTGGGGTGGCCTTACTAGACAAAACGTGTAAGAAAGTGAAAGAATGCAGGGAGGAGTGGGGGTGCAGCTGCTGAACTGGCACTGGGGGCTGCTGCAGGCAGCGCTCCCGGGGGCTGCCAGGACCGCCCCCCCCCACCTACCTGCTCGTCACCCATGTACTCCCCGAAGTGGAAGACCCGCGCTTTGAGCTCCAGCTCGGCAGCCGTCTCTTCCTCCTTGATGATGGACCTGGTCAGCGTGTTGATGAGCTGCTTGAGCTGGTTGACCTCCCTGTCCCTGGAGAGGGCAGAGCATGGCTCAGGCCGCCCGCGCAGCCCTGGGCGCGTTACCACCCTCACCCCCACCCCTGCCAGCTGCCCTGAGGGCCAGAGGACCATGGGTGCCAAGTGTCTCGGGCCAAGATGTCAAAAATGCTGGAGGAATCCAGGGGATGAGATTTAAAAGCCATAACCGTCAGCATTAAATTTAACACGGGGTTCACGCAGAGTGAAATTAATGTGAAGGGTACACTTGGGTAAGGAGGGTGTCTGCACAGAGTTAGGCGACCATCGTTGTCCTGTAACATCAGGACGTTGTCACCATGCCCGTGGCGGTTGGGCCTCCTCCTCCCTCCCCCTTTGCCTGATGCCACCCCTGGGTGATCTTGGGCATCTTGTACGAGTGGGAACACACAGTACACAGGCCGTGGCGACTGGCTGCTCGCACCCAGCGTGTCTCCAAGGCCCGGCCGCCCCTGCTCAGTGCGGGTCAGTTTGGTTCCTCTTCGGGCCGAATGACGGTCCGTTGTCCTGACACGTGGGCGTGTGAGGTGACGTCTTAACCCCTGCACCAAACACCTGCCCCAGGAATTGTTATTTTGTTTCTTTTAGCTACGCTGATGGAATTGTGTAGAGTTCTTTTCGATGATAACCACAGAGATATTTACAGATAAAGTGATCGTGTGTCTGGTGGGGGAGGGGAGGCAGGGGTCCCGGTGAACTGATAAATACTGAAGCTGGTGGCGGAGGCCGGGGGCCACTCTACTGCTGTCTCTGCTTGTGGATGTGTTTGTAGGCTTGCAATTTTCTTAGCACTATTGGGCTGAATTTGGAGAAGTTAGCAAAATGTTTTTAAAAAGATACCAAGATGGAGGCTCTGGGTAAATGGGGACCTGTCCCCAGAAATCCGATGTTCTCGCGACTCCTAGAAAGACCAGGCCGGACAGAGTCCTCAGACCCAGCTGTAGCAGCAAGGCCAGGAATGCAAGGAAACCAGGCCACCTCGCCCCTCCCCGAGCCAGCTCGGGAGCGTCGCGGCTCCGCACGCGCGGGACGCCTGCCTGCAGGGTGCTGGAGGGCACAGGGAGGCCTGTGTCGTGTCTGGTTCCTTTGCAGGTCCCTGCATGTTTGGTCTTGTCGTTGGCCTTGTGGTTGTGGGCTCTCTCTGCTCCCCGGCTTCGCGGAGCGTGGCCCAGGGCGAGCCCCCGGCCCTGCACTTGGGTGTTTGCAGCACAGTTAGTTCAGTTGTCATCCACTGCCTAGTGGGCTTTGCTTCCAATTCATTCTGCCCGCATCTCTGAGAATTCTTTCCACATTCCGTGTACATCCTATCCCGGGTCCTGATTCTCCCATCCCCATCCTTTTCCTCTCAGTTCGGGCAGCTGTCCCTGGGTTATCACCATCTCTTCTGCCAACCCGCTGGCCAGCTGTGTCCAGTCTTCGCTGTGACCTTAACCCAGAGGTCTTTCCCATGACCGCATGGGTCCCTCCGGTGGCAGGGACACACTCTGCAGGGAGGACCAAAGACATTCCTCGAGGCTCGGGATCCTCAAACTTACCCCCTCGATGAAGGAGTTTCCACTTCTGGGGACATCCGTCCCCTGTCCTTAGAGCCGGAAGTCGACGTGGACCCAGTGTTAGGGACAGGAGATGCATTGTGCCTTCTGATGGCCTGGGTGAAACCTGGCCTGGAGGCTGATGTGGTGGCCGTGCAGTCTCATTGCCACATCCGGGTGGTGCAGGTGCCTGGCGTGGCTGCCCAAGACTTGTCTCACCCAGTGCCGTGTCCTTGCTGGCAGGAGCTCTGTGCTAGAGTTGTGGTGACCCAGAGTGGCTGGCCCGGTTCTGGTGCTCACCAGGCTGAGCCTCCTCTCCACCCAGTGTCTAATTTACACACAGAAATACAGCTGGGATCTGTGCACCTTGGTTGCATCAGCATTTCCTTACAGGGCGGGTGTTAACTCTGGCGGCTGAGATGTTGGCACCCCCGCATCGCATGGTGCAGTCCCAGTTCCACTTCCGATCCCAGCTTCCCGACAGCACGCACCCTGGGAGGCAGCAGTAGTGGCTCCAGGGGTTGAGTCCCGGCCACCCGTGGGAGACCTGGGTGGAGTTCCCAGCCCCCAGCCTCAGGCTGGCCCAACCCTAGCTGTCGCCGGCATTTTGGGAGTGAACCAGTAGATAGGAGATCTCTGTGTCTCTGTCTCTCTCCCTTACAAATAACAGACACAAAGCACTTCCAACACCCCCAGAGCTTCCTCGTGCACACGGTGTGGGCTGGTGCCTCTCGCCCTCGAGACGGTGTCCCTGTCACCTGCCCCCTGATGTGCGTGCTGTGGAGCGTGACCTGAACCCCAAGCGCTGATTCTAACTGACAGGAGGTGGGGTGGATGTCACTCTGTAATCAGGCCCCAGGAAACGGGACCTCCACCTTGCTGGTAGACACTCTGAGGAAGCCAGCAGCTGGGACAGGCAGCCAGAAACAGAGCTTCCAGCAGTCGTGTGGGTGAGCTTCTCCCATGGAGCCTGCAGGTGACACACGAGGCACTCGGGGTGCACTGTATGGTGCCCGTTACGTGGAGGAGATAGCCGGTACAGCTGGTTCAGGAAGGTCAAGTTAGTGACCCGAGCAGAGCAGGTGGCCCTGGGGTCTGCCTTCTTCCCGTCATGTCTGAGTGGCTGTTCCCATGGCTGGCCGCGTTGATCCTTTGTTCCTGTTTACTGTGGGGCAGCCCTGTGTCCCTCAGATACCCACTTCTGGGTCCCTGGAAACAAACTGAACGTGGGATGCTGCCTGGCACGGAGCAGTCGGGGCTGCAGCGGGCACTGGGGTTGCTCATCGTTGGCGGGCAGGTGGGAGACTGGCGTGGATGATGTGGTGGGCCGCGTAGCATGCTTTCCTGCAGCCCACCCCTTCATTTCAGTCCACTGAGACCAGTCTGAGAGCTCCGCCCTCCAGAGCTGTAAGGGAAGCCACTCGTGGTGTTGAAGCTGCTGGGCGAGTTGTTGCCATGGCGACAGTCTCCCACACGTAGCGTGGACAGACCACACTTTGTACACCTACTTGGGCGGTTGTTGTTGGCTGTCGGCTTTCCAACACAGCCATTCTTTCTTTTAATGGTGAACCAGGCTGTTCACTTACTGTTGCAGCTATTTATATGCTTCTATAGAGATGTTTTCCTGAGAGCAGTTTTAGGTTCAGTGCAGAATTGGGTGGAAGGTACAGAGAGGTCCCCTCCCTGCCACGCCCTCTCCTTCCCCAGCTGTTGTCACCATCCCCCACCCCAGGGGGCCATTCATTACAACGGGACCCTGCACTGGCACATCTGCACTGTGATCGCTTGCAGAGACAAGGCCCGTCCTGGGTATTGTCCACAGCTGTTGGTGCTCCAACAGCGGAGCACCACACACAGCGGCTTTACTGCCCCAAAACTCCCCGTGCCCCTGGCGACCGCTGATCCCCTCACCATTCCCATGGATTTGCTTTTTCCAGATGTCCTGTGGTTGGAGTTCCAGGGCACACAGCCTTTCAGACTGGCTTCCTCCACTCCGTCATATGTCTTAGCGTCGTCCGCGCCTTTGCAAGGCTTGACCGTGCGCTAGTTTTTAGCACTGAATGCTCTCCCAGTGCATGGATGTACAGCACCGTTTATCTGTCTATCCACCTGCTGAAGAACATCTGGGCTTCTTTCAACTGTGTCGACGAGGAATAAGGCTGCTGTGAACACCCTGGGTGCAAGTGTTTGAGGGCGTGGATTTTCCGCCCATGTGGGGAAGCACCCAGGGCACAGCTGCGGGATCCTGTGGTAAGAGGATGTTGGGCTTTGTGAGCAGCCCCCACGCTGTCTTCCACGTGGCTGCCCCACTCTGCGTTCCCAGCAGAGAGCGAGCGTACCTGTTCCCCACTTCCTCGCCAGCGCCTGGTGGTGCCAGTGTTCTGGGCGCTGGCCTTTCTCACAGAGGGGCAGCAGTGTCTTCTTAGGGCTGTCCTTTGCACTTCTCTGATGACGTGGTGCTAAGTCCTTTTCACACACTTATTTGGCATCTATATGTGTTACCCAGTGAAGTGTCCGTTCAGGTACTTTGCTAATTTCCTATTAAGTTTAATGGTCCTTTTTAATGTATCAGATAATGTCTCCCTACATAGATCTTTTGCAAATATTCTCTTCCAGTCCATGATTTGTCTTTTCAGTCTCTTGACAGCATCTTTTATGGGGCAGAAATTTTCCATTCTAATGAAGTCTGGCTCAGCAATTTCTTTTTCTTTATTTTTTTCTTTTTTATTTTTTGACAGGCAGAGTGGACGGTGAGAGAGAGAGACAGAGAGAAAGGTCTTCCTTTGCCGTTGGTTCACCCTCCAGTGGCCGCCGCGGCCGGCGCACCATGCTGATCCGAAGCCAGGAGCCAGGTGCTTCTCCTGGTCTCCCATGGGGTGCAGGGCCCAAGCACTTGGGCCATCCTCCACTGTACTCCCTGGCCACAGCAGAGAGCTGGCCTGGAAGAGGGGCAACCGGGACAGAATCCGGCGCCCTGACCAGGACTAGAACCCGGTGTGCCGGAGCCGCAAGGCAGAGGATTAGCCTAGTGAGCCGTGGCTAGCAATGATTTCTTTCACATACTGTACTAAAGAGTGGTCTCCTGTGTTGTCTTCTAGCAGTGTATGTTTTTTCTTCTTGTGCTTAAGCCAGTGATTGACAGGGAGGTGTGATTTGGTGAAGGGGGTGGGGTCTGCGTCCACATGCACGAAGATCTTGGATTGTCATTGTCCAGGCACCATGTGTTAAAATGCTGGTTTTGTCCCTTTTGTTGTCTTGGCTCCTTGGTCACAGATTGGCTTCCTGTTTTCCTGTGGATCTGTTGCTGTCCTATGGATCCATTTGCCTGTTCTCTCACCAATACCACACTGTCTCTGTTAGTGTAGTTTTAGTAGGTCTTGAAGTTAAGCTGCATCAGTCTCTAGCATTGTTGTTCAGTGCTGTTAGCTGTTCCATCCAGTACTGTGTTGGCTACTGTCTTCTGCCTCCCCATGCAAACTTTAGAACTGGTTTATCCATTCCCACAAGAGAACATGCTTGCGTTTTTATTGGGATTGTGTTGAATTACAGATCAGGTGAAGTGTCTTCTTGGTAATAGTGAAGCTTCCTCTCCATGAACATGGTATCTCTCTCTACTTGCTTAGTTACTTGATTTCATCAGAGTTTTGTAGTTTTCTTCATACAGATCTTGTTTGTATTTTGTTACATTTATATCTGTGTAGCTTGTTTCTTGTTACATGTGCTGATGTAAGTGGCATTGATTTTTTTTCTTTTTTTATTAGAGAGACAGAGAGAAAGGTCTTCCTTCTGTTGGTTCACCCCCAAAATGGCCACTACGGCCGGTGCACTGTGCCAATCCAAAGCCAGGAGCCAGGTGCTTCTCCTGGTCTCCCATGCGGGTGCAGGGCCCAAGCACTTGGGCCATCCTCCACTGCCTTCCAGGTCACAGCAGAGAGCTGGACTGGAAGAGGAGCAACCAGGACAGAACCAGTGCCCCAGTTGGGACTAGAACCTAGAGTGCTGGCGCTGCAGGCGGAGGATTAGCCTAGTGAGCCATGGCGCCGGCCTGAGTTTTTAATTTCAATTTCTGCTTGCTCACAGATGGTTTGGGAAAGCAGTTGTCTTGTGTAACTTGAATTTATGTCGGCAGCCTTGCCATCATTGCTTATCAGTTTGCAGTGGTTGCTTGTTTCACACTGTCTTCATAGACCATCATGACATCTGGGGACAAACATAGTTTGGTTTCTCTTTTTAAAAAGATTTTTTATTTCTTTGAAAGGAAGAGTGGTAGGGAGAGATAGAGACGGATCTTCCATCCACCAATTCACTATTCCAGGGGACGGAACACCTGGGACTGGGTGAGGATGAATGAAGCCAGGAGTCGGGAACTCCATCCAGCATTTGTGCTTCCTTCCCAGAAGTGTCACCAGGGAGCTGGATTGGAAGTGGGGCAGCCAGGACTCGAACCAGCACTCAGATCCGCATGCTGCGCCACATTGCCAGCCTTGACAGTTTTATCTCTTCTTCCCAGCCTACATGCATTTCCCCTTTCTTGTCTTGTTGCACTAGCTGGGACTCCCAGATGCCGAGTGATCTAAGAATATGCCCTTCCCTCGTTCCACCTCTCCGTGGGAAGTTTCTAGTTCCTCACCATTTAGTGTGGTGTTCGCTGTAGGAGGGTTTATCAAGTTGAGGAAATTCCAATCTATTTCTAGTCTGTTGGGAGGTTTTTTTTTTTTTTTTTTAATCATGAACAAGTGTTGGATTTTGTTGGGTGCTTTTTCTTGATGAATACAATTGTGATTTTTCTTTGTTAGCTTACTGATGTAACGTTACATTCATTGATTTTAGTACACTGGACCAGTCTTGCATCAATACCACCCAATTCTGTTACAGAATTCCTTATGTTTATTGTTGGGTTTAATCTGCTGATGAGTTATTGAATATGTCTGTGTCTGCACTGATGAGAGAGACTGGCCTGGACTCTGCCTTCCTTGTAAAGTCTCTGCGGTTGGTTTTAGGATCACGTTAGCCTCAGGGCACAAGCGAGGAAGCATTCCCTCTGCTTCTCTCTTCTGAAAGAGGTTTTTGGAGAATTGGTATTGTTTCTCCTTGTTCCATAGAGGTCACGAGTGAACCCCTCTGGGCGGGCAGCTTTCTTTTTTGGAAAGTTATTAATTGTTGATTCAGTTTCTTGAATAGATACAAGCCTATGAAGGTTGTTGATTTCCTTTATATATATATTTAAAGGTTTTTTTCTGAGAAAGAGTGGTTGAGTTCATGGAAGTTAAATGCACATGGGCGTGGACCCACCCTGGAAACAGCTGTTGGCTGGGCGGGTGTTGTCCCCTCGGGCGGCTCAGCTGGCTGGAGAGCAGCTGCGGGGGTCACCTCCAGCGGCCAGCGGTGTGTGTGCGTGCATGCGTGCGTGTACGCATGTGTGTGCATGTGTGTGTGCGTGTGTGTGAGTGTGTGTGTGTTGGGGGAGGGGCCCATCTTTTTTCTGGGCGGCTTCCTGCCCCTCCCCAGCTCCCCTCTGTTGGTCTCTGATGCATCCCAGCTGTGCAGGGGAACAGTCTTGCCGAGAGCTGGTGGCTCTGCACCAGCCTGGACACTGCTAGAGACGCCAGACGCATGGGGCATGCGCCTCAGGAGTGTGGCTGCCCCGTGGGACACTGAAGCTTCGCCGGCTTCCACCCCTGGGCCTTTGCACTCGTGCCCCCTCTGTCCAGAGCCCTCTTCCCCAGACACCCACATGGCTGCCTGTCCATCCGCCCCTTGGGAAGTTTCTGGACCACAGGCCGCTTCCTCCTGCTCACCCACCTGCTGTCCCCCTGCAGGTCAGCCCCCTTTCTCACAGCCCTGATTGCCCCCCCACCCCCAGCACACATCCAGCATTAACAGGGCAAGGCTGCGGGCCTGGCTGCCAGGCCTGCTGCCGCTGAATGCCGGCCTTGCCTTACCCCGTGGAGCTTAGGCCAGATCACATGGTCGGCTGGTCCATGGGGAATTGAGGGACGTGTCCCTGCCCTGGACAGACTGCCTCTAGTTCCCCAGGCTGACCCTGCCTGGGGCCTGGGCGTTTGGACCTGTGTGCATGTGGGACGGGGACTGCAGGTGGCGGGGGCCACGCCTAGCTGGAGGGACCCAAAAAGCCACAGGTAGGCTCCAGGTGAGTGCTGGACAGCCTCCTGCCTTCACTCGCTGCCTCTCTCCCAGGACCGTGGACACTGGGATTTCCCCCGTGGACACTGGGATTTCCCCCGGGTCCTTCCGGGGCCCTGGCCACCTTGCCACGCTGGCCACCTCCCTCCTCCCGTGGCTCTTTCTGGCTCCCGCTGGTGCGTTTTAGCCCGGGTTGCCACACAGCTGCGCCCAGAGCAGCCTGGCCCCAGCCCAGGTTCCCTGTCACGTCCTGCGGCTGTGCTTACTCCCGCCTCTTGACGCTGCCATCAGCTAAGGCACGGATGGGGACGCGCCCCCTCCCCAGGGCCAGGCCTGCTAAGGGATAGTCAAACCCAGCTTTTTTCCAAAGTAGGAGCCGGCCCTCCCCTCCCCCCGCCCCCGCTGCGGACGGCGCATGCGCAGTGGCCAGCGTGGGACCTACATGCGCAACTGCGTGTTCTTCAGGCTGAGGCTCAGCTCCTCCAGGGCCTCCTCCATCTCCTGGCGGTTCTGGATCAGCGACAGGTTCTGCTCCTCCAGCTGGACGAACTCGTCCAGGAGCTGCTGCGGCTCCGTGAAGTACAGCGGCAGCTCCTGCACCCACCGAGCGAGCCGCTGCGGGGTCTGACCGGGGGCCGCGTGGAGCAGCACAGTGGGGAGGGAGCGGGGCGGGGAGGGGGGGGGCATGGGCCACGAGTGGGGCCAGGCCTGGGAGGGGGAAGGGCAGGGTGGTTCCAGAGCTGGGCCGCTGACCTCCCTGTCGCTGTCGACGTCCTCGTGGGTGGGGACGCCAAAGGTTGACCTGTGATGAGAAGGTGGGCTCAGGGCCCCGGGGCTCACGCTGGCCTGGCAGAGGTCTGAGGGCACCCACCCAGAGCGCCCCCCTCCCCCATCTCTCCTCTCCCCACAAGTTCCCAGACGGTGTCTCCTGGCCCTACAGCTGTCCAAGAGCAAGCAAGGGATGGCTTTGAGAGTCGTGCCCTCGTGGCCAGTGGGAATAAAGCTTGATTTGTCAGCCCCGCCGCCTCCACACTGCAGGTCACTGTGGATGCCAGCCCCACCCCAGGGCCTTTGCACCTGCAGCCCCACCGCCGCCACCAAGGCTGTCCCCTCACCTGCCACTCCTGTACTGAGGGTCTTGGAGACCCTTCTCGCCCCACTCCCTCGCCAGATTCAGCCTTGGCGCTGCCCTTGATAGCCCCATGTATGGCCACCATGGGATACCTGAGGCCATCTTCAGCCGACCCTGGGCACTGAGAGGGTTGTGAACACAGCTCTGTGGGCTCTTAGTGCTCAGTGTGGGGCCGTGGATGGGGACTCCACCCCACTGACTTCCAGGTTCACTCTCGGTGCCCCTGCCTGGGTTTCCAAAGGATTGTGGGTCCTGCCACCTGAAGACTGGGGTAGGGGGCGGCCTGGGAGACCCTAGGCCCTGGTATCACAGAGGGATTCCTGGACGAGAGGCTGTGGTCACAAGGAGAGCACAGGCGGAGTGCCCCACCCTGTACCCACTGGCGCCCTGTTCACAAGTGAGGGGTGCACAGCTCAGGGTGCTGGCCACCTGCTCACAATCACTTCCGGCACTTCTGGCCCACAGGCTGCCTGAGAAGCCACTGTGCAGAGCACCTGGGCCATTGTGGACGTCACGGATGGTGGCCAGTCTTCCCAACCAGGCATCACCCCAACACGTAACGAGGAAGGTGAACTTGGAAACTGGAGAGGGTGGGACCTTGGCCAGCCTGGCCGGCATGAGTTTGGAATATGGGAGCTTGAGTGCATGGAGGGGTGAGCGTTCAGATGTGCAGCTCGGGGACAGGTGAGGTCTGGCAGTCACAGAACAGGGAGGGTGGAGGATGAGCAGCAGGTGCAGGTCCCACACAGGGGAGGGCGGGCGAGGCCCTCGGGCCCCCACTTCTCTCCATCCCCACAACCACTGCCTGCATGCACAGCACATCACGCACAGAGCTTCCAGAAGGAAACACGGGAGAATGTGACCGTGACTTTGACCTTGGCAAGGACTTTTCTGGCAGGGCACAAAATGCCATCAACCGGAAAAGAAAACCTGGGTGAATGAGACCTCAATAAGATGCAGAATTCATGTCTCGCAAAAGACAACGTACAAAGAAGAAGAAGGCAAGACACAGATGGGACATCTTCGGCCTCCGCCGAGCACACAGGGCCTGTGATGACTGACAGCCAGAGCCCAGGTCTCCGCGTGGATGTGCAGGAAGATGTCACAGGAGGACTTTGCCTCTGCCACCAAGCAAGTGTCACGAGAGCCGCAGGAGGTGCCACTTCCCGCCCACGGTGACCACGTGTCCCGGTGCTGCCCGCCCCTTCTAGCGAGAGACAATAAGGACGGGCCCAGAGCTGTGCAGCTCTAGTGCCAACCAACAGTCCAGGCCCACAGCCCAGCGGATTCTTGCCCTCTGGCTCCCTCTGCCGTGCCGTGACCACCGTGGGACCAGGACCAGGGACAGCCCGATGCCCAGAGCCCTGAGATCACAAGTCTTCCAACGAAGCGGTCCTCAGCCCGCTTACCCCTTCACCTGCTCTTTCTCGCAGACCCCTCGCTCCAGGCTCTGCCTGCAGTGTCCCTCTCTCCCTCTGCCTGCTGGCCGGCCCTGGTGCTGTCCCGTGTGGACCCTCCTGCTCCTGGGGAACTGTGAGTAGCAAACTCTCTTTCTGTTGGTTGTCATCTCCTGGCTTTTTGGCCTCACCACACCTGGGTGGTGCCAGGGCCGGGGCTGGAGGGACACTCCCTGGTCCAAGTCCCCGTCTCCCCTCAAGCTTCCTGTAGGACCTCACCTGCTGGAGTCCAGCTCGCCAGGTGCACTTGCTGGGCTGACGCTTTTGGCCAGGATCTGCCCCAGCCTTGCCACCTGCAGAAACTTCGAGGGCTTCTTTGTGCCCTGAGCGTCTGGAGGGAGCAGAGCAGAGGTGCCCATGTGCCCCAGGCCTGGGCTGCACGGCCCCTCCAGCCTAGGGCGGCCACTCACCTTGTGTCCACAGGGACAAGACCTTGCCTTTGGTGCCTGGTCCTACAGGAAGCAAAGGAGGCGCCCTCGATGCCTCGGCGGGAGCCGGGCTGCAGCTGCTCCCAGGACTCACCTGATGGCCTCCCCCAGCCTCAGGAGGAGGGGGTGCTCGGAAGGAAAGTCCCCGCCCCCATGCTCTCTCTCCCCAGAGAAAGCCTGGGTTGTGACAGAGGAGGCGGCAGGGTGGCTGCCGCCCTGCACAGAGCCCAGCTGGGGCTGTAAGGGGTGGGATGGAGGCCAGTGGCTGCTGGGAGGCCTGCTGGGCCCCTGCCAGCTGGACCCAGGGTCTCGGCTCCCTGCCACCTCTGTCCCCGGGGCAGGAAGCGTGTACCACTCTCTTTGGCGAGCTCGGCAGCCTCCTTGGCCTTTCTGATGGCCAAGTGCTTCTTCTCCTGCTCCTCCAGCCACTCCTTGGGTGACAGCTTGTAGAGGAAATCCTTGTAGGCCTTGTACTGCTGCAGGGTGTCTTCCACTTTGGAGATTTCGCTGGGCCCAGGGAGGGGTCAGGAGAGCTCAGACTCTGCCATTGCAAGGTCCCTCCACCCCCGGCTGGACGTGCCCACCCTGGGCAGGCTCCCGGTTCTGTAACACAAGCACCTAGTGCAGTGTGCCGGGGGAGAAGGGTGCCCACCCCGCAGGGCCCCGGCGCCAGCCAGCGCTACTTCCAGCCTTGTAGCCGTGTGACAGAGCTCACAAGTTCCTCTCCACCCCGGGGACTCTGCTGCCACTCTAAGCCGCACCTGCCGCCTCCCACTCCGCCTCAATGGCATGGCCTTGGCCAAGTCACTGAGCCTCAGCCTCAGTCTATCCACCTGCAGAATGGACAGCTGCCCTCCAACAGGGCCTAGAGGCCCCGGGAGGTAAAGTCTTGAGGTCTGCAAGGTGCTGGTCTCCCTTTGGCTCCCCCTCCCCTGCCTGGGGAAGGCGACGTGTCTGAGATAAAGGGAGCCGGGCAAGCCAAGACCTCCAGCCTGACCTCTGACCTCACCTTTTGATATTTGTGATCTGGGTGGTGAGTTCGTGTATTTCAAGGATCTTCTCCATCTTGGTTTTGGTCTCCTTCTCAGCCCTGGGGGTGGGGACGGTGGGCTAATCACACAACACTGGGGAGGAGCAGGCACGCTGCCCTGGCCCCGGGCTGGGGACAGGAACGGGGGGTGCAGGTGCAGCGCAGCAGGGGGCGGCTAGGGCTGGGTGGCACCTGGCCAGGAGGATGCAGCAGGGCCTGTGGGGTGGTGCTGCCGGGCCAGCCCCACCGGGGGGCTGTAGGCTCACTCATTAATGGCGTGCACGCAGCTCTGGTCATTCTCCCTGAGGAACTCGTCAAAGAGGGACTTGTCCTTCTCCAGGGACTTCTCGGCCTGTGCCAGCCTGGCCTCCTCCTTGGTGGCCACCATGTCAAGGCGCTGGATCTCCCTCTGCTTCATGTTCAGGGCGTACTGGGGGCCGGCAACGCCGAGTCACGTTGCCTGGCCGGGGCCGGTTCCCCTGCCGGCAGCCCCTGGGGTGGGGGGCCCTGGGGCAGCTGCGTCTACCTGGATGAGGGACATCTGTCGCTGCTCCATGATGTAGTTTCTGATGCTGTCGGACCGCAGCTTCTGTTCTGCAGTGGCAGGGCAAGGGGACAGAGCCAGGTTCTTAGTACACCTGCTGAGGGGCCCATGAGGGGCTGAGGCCCCCGGGGCCGTGGTGGGGGCACCCCTGTCCCCAGCCCAAGAAGAGAATGCTCTGCCCAGTATGTGACATTCTCTAAGGCTGGGGTCAGGCCAGCCAGGACATCCGCCCCATGTCTGACTAGGGCCTCTCTCTGCCCGTGGGAATGTGGCTCCCAGCTGAACTCAATACCGAGAGAGAGAGCCAGGACATGACCAGGCATGGGAGAAAAAATGGCTGTCAGGATCTCCGCTCAGGGCACCCCGAGCCCCGAGTGTCCAGGGCGAGAAGCGCCAGAGTCCACACGGCCAGGCTTTCCGGCAGGCCGGAGTCGTGGAGGTCTGGACAATCCTCCTGAGTTAAGCAGGGCCCTGGCCTGGCCCCTCTGGGCGACCTTGGAGACGTCCCTGCCCCCGAAGGAGTCCCAGCTCCTGGCTGGCGGTCAAGGTTGGGACAGTAAGGAATCTCCTGGCCCAAACCCGCTAGGCCCGGCCTCCCCTAGCCAGACCCCACCTGGGGATGGAGGGCAGAGGCGGAAAACAGACAGATGCGGGGCTGGACACGCAGAAATCCCCACAGCCACAGGCTCCTGCCAGACTAAGGCCCCAGGAGTCCGACTCGGAGCCTCTCGTGTTTGCCATCCCACCGAGTCCATGCCCCGGCTGCTACTTTCAGCCTCGTGATGGGAGGAGCTTAACACACACTGGGTGCTGAGATGAGGCTGCCGGCCCCCATGCACGTTCAGCGTGAGGACACACTTCAGCCCCACGGCCACGAGGCCTGCGCCATGACCAGCCGGGAGAGGGTCAGGAACTTGGCCGTGACCATGAAGCTCTCGAGTGCTGGAGCCAGGGCGCGGCTGAGGTCCAGAGTGGCACTGTGTCCACCACCAAGGTAACCTGGCTCCGTCTGCTGCGGTGTGGCCCGCACGCGGACGCACCCTGGGGGTCCCCGGCTGTCCGGGACTGGCGGCGCGAGGGGCGGCACCTTTGGTCATGGCGAGCTTCCAGGCCAAGCTGGGCAGGGCACGCAACTCCTCCACCTTCTCGTGCAGCTCCTGCTCCTCGGCCTTGTCCTCCAGCTGCAGCTCCCGCCGCATGTGGCTGTGCTTGGCCGACATCATGGACGAGTAGGTCATCTTCTGGTGCACTTGCATCACCTTCTTCTGTTGCCGCTCCTGGGGGCAGAGGCGGGGTGGGGGCGACGCCGCAGCCCCCACCCCACCCCACCCCTGTGGCTCCTGGGGCCTGGTGTCGCCCCGCCCCCTGCATCCCTCCAGGATCGTGTGTGGCTGCAGGGACCTGTGCACACAGACACGGGGGCCAGGCCGGCCCATGACGTGTAGGAGTCTCCTGAGAACGGAGGTCCAGGCAGGATCCTGGTTGTGCACAGATGAGCACTGCAGGGGCGTGCTCAGGCCAAGGTGGTCTGTCCTTGGATCTGAAGCCCCATTTAACAGAGTGACAAACTGAGGCTCGGGAAGTCCAGAGTTGGGCCCGCAGGAAGGCTGCTGTGGTCTGACCTCCCCTCCATCTCTCTGCCCTGCACCTGCTCTGCTGTACCCCCCATGGGGTCCCATCACAGCCCAGCCCCTCCCCTCCCAGGAGGTCCCTGGCTGTCCTAGGAAGTGCTCCCGGTGTGGCCAGGGCTGGATGTGCCTGTGCTGGCCCAGGCTATGCTGGGGCGTGAGGTGTGGGCTGTCCTGACCTCTGGTGCATGGCACTCGGGGTGGGGCGGGGCGGGGCGTGAGAGGTAGGGTGCTGGGGTGCACACGAGGCCGAGCAAGTGTCAGGGCCCCAGCACTTCGAGGCACTGCTGCAGGCACGTGGGTGCATCTCTGTGTGCTTCTGGCCCCCAGGGGTCCAGTGAGAGCGGGCCACTGATGCCCAGAGCCATCAGAGGGGAGGGAAAGGGCCTGCGAGGTCTTGGGTGGGCCTGGAAGGCAAGGAGCCTGTCAGGAGTGGGTGGCATCTCACTCAAGGGACAGTGGAAGTGGCCACAACAGCCCACTGAGCAGGCTCAGGCCCAGAAGTGGTGAAGGGGCTGGGTACGATGGGTGGGACAGGCCAGAGGTGTGAGAGCCATGCAGAGCTTCTGGTGGGCGCTGGTGAGCCACCGACTATCGTGGAGTGAGAGTGTGCTCTTCTGGGCAGGGAGACGGGGTCACTGGGGACAGGGAAGCATCGCCAAGGGGCCGGCCTCTGCCCCAGGTACTTACGAAGAAAGCTCTTTTCCGCTCCTGCTCTCTTAGCAAGAAGAAATCCACATCTTCTGGGATGTGGAAAGGATTGGCTGAACGGCTGGGAGCATTCTCAAGATCTGGGGAGGGAGATGCCTCCTTGAGCGGGGAGCCAGCTCTTGCAGGCGGGGGTCAGAGCTCTGGGGTCCTGGTGCCATCCCAGCCCAGCACGTGACAGCAGGAGTGGTGTGACCGCTCCTGGATCCAGCTGTGCCTGAAGTCCACTCCTGGAGTGGCAAACTCACCTCTGTGGTTTAACTTAGTTCGCGATGGGCTTCTGTCCCTGGCATCTGAAAGAGACCTCGTGAACACAGCCCCTGTGACTCCAGCCACTGCCCCCTGCCCTCTGTCTCCCAGTCTCAGGCCTGGTCTCTGTGGGATGGACTGGTGGCCGGGAGCTGCTGGAGCCCAGCTGAGGTGCTTGCAGTACCCCTGGCTGAGGGCTGGGGGAGCCCGAGGCTTTCTGGGAACTCCTGGGGTTAGGCTGGGCTGGAACGTGGGTCACAGCTAAGTGAGTGAGGCCAGGGCAGTGAGGCAGGCAGGGATCCGCCAGGGAGCCAGGCGCGGGGGCGGGGTTCGCACGGGTCTGCTTTGCAGAGTGGATGCTGTCCTGCTGTTAACCTCCACTGCTCTGCACCCCACGCTGACTTGAGAACCTGGGGCAGGTGCCAGGAGAGCGGCAGGAGGGCTGTCTGTGCATCTCGGGGGGCCAGGGAGTCAGGCGGAGAGCGTGACCTGGACATGTGCCCCACCCAGCCCCGGGAAAGCGCTAGAAAATGCTGGCATCATGGAACCTGGGAGGGAGGCCGGGGAGGGGGCAGGCGGGCGGGACAGGGTAGGGGAGGTGCAGGCCGCACGGCTGCAGGGGTAGTGGGTGGGGGTGGGGGTCCTGAGGGCTCCACGCCGCTGGAGGCACAGGTGGGCACAGGCGCCCTCCCTGTCCCCAGCCCCCAGGACAGAGGCATTGTCCCAAGCGCAGAACAGGAGAGCTGGGGCTTGGGTGCGTCTCTGTGTCCCCACGCTGGCCGCCAGCCCACAGGGTCGTGGACCCCACAGCTCCACTGCAGAAATGGGGGCTTTCATTTTCATAACCGCCCTGTGAGGTGGGAGAGGTCGTTCCCATTTTTCCCAGTGGGGAAACTGAGGCAGGGAGGGGCCAGACATGCGCTCAAGGCCCCATAGCCGAAGAAGCTGAGGGAGGCCGGCCTCGGAGAGCAGATGTGGGGACAGTCAGCGGGAAGCTGTAGATGGGGCTGTGTCAGCCACGGCGGCCAGTGCTGGACACCGATCGTGACACCGATCGTTCCAGAAGGGCACAGCTGATTGGACAATTACAAGCCAATCCGCGGAATGCGCCTCATTAACAGAAAGGAGAACAGGGGACAGAGAACACGAGTGGGGGTCCTAGCAGGTGCAGTGAAACTGCGATGAACCCCAGAACACCTCTGGGTGCAGGGGAAGGCTGCCGGTAGCACCCACCTACTCCCCAAACCCGGGAGCAGGTTCCCTTGTCTGGTGACGGGGACTCTGCGGGTGTGGCCAAGGACTGTGGGCCCGGGACAGTGTCTCTGGCCACCTGGTGGCCCAGGGGGTACCACAGATCCCTGTGGAAGGAAGGTACGCGGCCCACAGCAAAGAGCTGGCAGCCATGTGCGGTGCACAGGAGGGAGAGGCAAGGAGACAGGTGCTCCCCTGGCGCCTTGGGAAGCCTCGTGGCCTGGCCAGGGAGCTCCATGAGCCCTGGGCAGCCCCTTGGCCCTGACACCTGCTGGGGGCTTGCGGATTGTGTGCGCTCCCTGGAAAACTTTATCCTGCCACAAACATTAAACGCACAATTGCCAGTCATGCCTGGCTGCACACCCAGTGACAATGAGTGCTTACGGCCCTAGAGGGACCCGCAGGAGGGTGTTCACAGCAGTGACCAGGCGGGGAGCAGATGTCTAGGGAGACGGGAGTGTCCTAGATCCCCCAGGGCTGGAGGCTGCACAGCTGCAGATGTCCGTGAGACCTAGCAAACTGTGAACTTGAGACCCGTCGACATCACCAGCGGGGAGCAGAGGGACCCACACTGAGAACGCACTGGGGACACTGAGCTGTCCCCTGCCCCTCCGTGGGGACCAGCCTCCCGCGGGGAGAGGCAGCCGGACAGATGTGACGATGGGCGGGTTCAGGGTCAGGTGTGACGACGGGTGTGTTAGAATTTTCATGATTCGGGAGAGGAGGCAGGGGCTGGGGTGAGGCGTGGGAGCGTGGGCTGGCCGCCCAGGCACAGGGCCACACTGCAGGAGGCTGAAGCCCAGGGTCTGACGGCCTTGCCTCTCGGCTTCCTGTTGGGCGGCCTCAGTGTGCCCACTGTGTGAGGACTCAGGGCCATGTGACAGGTGTCGGTCAGTGGTGGATGGGCAGCAGTTGCTATCGGGGGCCTTTCCCCATGAGCATTGGCTGGTAAGTAGCTGGGCCTTTCCCTTTGTCCCTTCTCCATGCCTGGAATCATATGTGATTACGCTGGAACTGCAGCAGCCATTTTGTGACTGTGGTTGAAAACTCTTAAGTCCTGGGGCCGGCGCTGTGGCACAGCAGATAAACTTGCCACCTACAACGCCAGCATCCCCTATGGTCGCTGGTTCGAGTCCCAGCTGCTCCACTTCCTTTCCAGCTCCCTGCTGATGCGCCTGAATGCCCAAGTACTTGGGGCCCTGCCACCAACACAGGACACCAGGAAGACACTCCTGGCTTCAGCCTGGCCCAGCCCCGCCCGGAGGGAGGCTCCAGTCCTACCTTGCTCTGCTCCCACCATTTCCGGTCTCTGACCCAACTCCTGCTGGGACAGGAGCCTTTTCCCCTGCCCTGAGCACTAAGGGCTGGGGCAGGGGGCGTCTGCGGACACGGGGTGGGGGTGGGGGTGGGGGTTTGCCTCCTACCAACTGGACTCCAGGCTCCCAGCTGGAAGGTTACCCTTTCTTTCTTTGTGCGCCTCTTTCTCCGCGGCTGGGGAGGAACTGGTGCTCCTGGGCCCCAGGCCGTGCCCTGCGGAGACACAAAGTGAGAGCCGCAGCCATCATCGCCGTGCAGGGGGCAGGGAGGCTCCAGCCCCAGCGTCCTGTGTGCCAGGCAGGCTGTGCGGCCTCTCTGGGCCTCTGTCCCCACACCTGGGCTCATCCTCGCGACTTCGCCAGGCAGCTGCGAGTACTGGGCACCCACCGGCCGTGCAGCAGCGCGGGTGCCTGGCACTCGGATCCCGAGTGCCGTCCCTTTTGTATCTCACACTGCCTGTGCACAGGGCCATTTTACAGATGGACACACTGAGGTTCAGGGAAGCCAAGGGCCCAGAGCCCTCTGACTCCTGGTCAGACGGGAGCTTTCGCTGTCAGGAGCTTGAATGGGGGACTCAGGCCCCCCCTTCCACAGAGCACCCTCCCCATTATTCTGTGAGACAGGGCTTCGCCATGCCTGGCCCTTGTGTCCAGCCCGGGAATCCTGAGGGTGCTGGCTGGGAGGCCAGGGCCCCGCTGCCTCCCTCCCCTGGGTGTCTCTAGCACCTCCTGCCTTTAGGTGATGTGTTCTATGGACCCACACTGCCTTGTTCTCTTTAACAGATGTTCATGAGGGAGGAGGAAGGGGGACAACACGTCCTCTGCCCTGACCTGGGAATCCTCTGTGGGTCTGATGTCCCAGGCCCCGCCCCGGAGGCAGGACCATGGGTCAGTGGAGAGGGGCGAGGCAGGGCCTGTGCAAAAGAGGGAAGGGCCGGGGGGGGCGGGTGGGGACAGGCAAGAACGTCAGGGCCTGGGGTGGAAACTCGCATGCCCCTGGAGGATGGCAGGTGTGTGGAGGGAGAGGCAGTACGGAGTCGTGCGGCCTGCGGGGAGCTCTGGACCTCAGGCTGCAAACTGTGTGGCAAATATCCCAACTATCACAGGTTTAAGGCACGGATCTGACGTCTAGGGGGTGGGGCCTCGTTACCCAGCAGGCTTTGCGTACCCAGCTACAGGCATTCCATGCACCTGTTTCAAGACCCTGTGCTTTTCACTCAAAACACATCTGCTCAGATGGTACAGTGGGGACAGCCGGAGTGGGATGAACTGGTCGCAACAGGATCGGTGCCGTCTGATCCACCTGCGGTCCTCAGAGGAGTGGGTTCTTGGGATTAGGAAGTGGAGCTGCAGGTGGCAGGGCTCCCACGGGGGTGGGGATGGTGTCTCACGGGGACACAGTTTCAGTTTGGGAAGATGACAGCTCTGGTGACGGCTGCACAACGCTGTGAGTGTGCCGAGAGCCACGGGAGCGTACGCTCGACAGTGGTAAGACGGGCAGTTTGACGTCACAGGGGGCAGGCGTTTGCCACTGTGGTTACTCCGCCCGTATCCCAGGCTGGAGCTCCTGGGTTCGAGTCCTGACTCTGCTCCTGATCCGAGCTTCCTGCCAGGGAGCGCCCATCAGCAGGTGCTGTGGCTCAAGTCCGTGGGTCTCTGCTATCCACGTGGGAGACCTGGATGAATTCCTGCATCCTGGCCTCAGGAAGGGGGAGCTGCGGGCACTTGGGGAGTGAGCCGGTGGACGGCCGGACGGCCGGTTGGTCGTCTGTGAAGTCTGCCTGCACCAAGTGTTGCTCATCTTTCAGTGAGGTCATCCCTTGGTGAATCTGGGACTTTTCAGTCTTACTCAATTTCTACACTATTTGTAATGGTTACTTTCCTTTAAAAAAAAAATTGTTCTATTTAATTGAAAGGCAGAGTTACAGAGAGAGGTCTTCCGTTCACTGGTTCACTCCCTAAATGGCCACAACGGCCAGAGCAGTGCTGACCCAAAGCCAGGAGCCAGGAGCCTCTTCCAGGTCTCCCACGTGGGTGCCGGGGCCCTAGGACTTGGGCCACCTTCTACTGCTTTCCCAGGCACATTAGCAGGGAGCTGGATCAGAAGTGGAGCAGTCGGGACTTGAACCAGCGCCCGTATGGGATGCTGGCACTGCAGGTGGTGGCTTAACCCGCTGCGCCACAGTGGTGGCCTCTGCTTTTGACTTTATTTTCCTACAGGGAAGTTTAACTCTAGTGAACAACTTGCAGGTTTTAGGTTGTGCTTAGAAAGGCATTCTTCACCTAAAGCTGAAATGCATTTGAAATGAAAGGAAAAAATCCTGGATTTTCTTGTAGTATTTCAACAAAGTTTAGTTTGATGGATTGATTTGAAAGGCAGGTGTGAGAGGGACGACGGTGGCAGGGACTCCTGGGAACTGTGGGTCTGTCTCCTGGCTGGCCGGCCTCACTGCCCAGGGACAACATTAGCACCTGCATTGGAACACGGCAGGAGCCGCACCTGTCTCGTCTGCCCCCACCCCGGTCCCCCCAGGACCTGGGTCAGAAGCTTCCTCCATGCACTCGTCCCGGGGGACCTGAGCGCAGCTTCCGGGCGTGGGGCTGGAGAGGATGGGCGGGGACGGGTACTCACTCCGCGTCCACCTGGCCGAACCTGCTGGCGCCTTCTCGGGCTCAGGCATCCTTGGGGATGGTGTCCTGGGAGACAGAGTGTATCTGCCTTCTTGGCGTCTGCTTCCTGGACGGGGAACAGACAGAGATGTTTCCATCACTGGTGCAGCCCAGGAAACCTCATGGAGGAGGTGGCCAGAGGGAAGTGACAGGGTGGGGTGGGGGGCTGCTTGGTAGAGCCGGAAAGGAGCAGCTCCTGGGGCGGGCGTGGCTGGGGCAATGGGCGTTTGGGGGGAGAGGGGATGGAGTGACGCCAGGCCCGTGGGGTGCAGGGTCTTGTTGGAAGAGCAATGCGGAGGCTTAAGTGGGTGGAAAATACGAGTCATGAGCAAACAAAGCACAGATTTCGACCCTGCCTGCACCAAAGCCGTCTCTTCTCATTCCACCTCCCATGTGCTTTCTGAAGCGCCCCTGTGCAGCGCGTCACAGATCCTGAGAGTCACGGGTTCACCCCTCTGCGCGCGGCTGAGGGAGATCTGGAACTCTGTGGGCTGGCTGGAGCAGGGACGTGGGCATCACCACCAGGCGCATGCGTCATGTGCAGGATGCACAGGGCCTGCGCAGAACCCGCGGGGACCCCACCCTAATTCCAGGGCGCAGTACCATCCAGACCAAAGGGATCCAGGAGAACAGGACCAGGTGTGCAAACGAGGTCTGGGGATACTTCAACCAGCCGCCGCTGTCACTTAAAAAAAAGTTGCCCAGAGAGAGAGAGACTAAGATTCATCCACTGACTCACTCCCCCAGTGCCCACGATGGTGGGGGCTGGGCCAGGCAGAAGCTGGGCACCTGGAACTCATTCTGGGTCTCCCTCGTGCGTGGCAGGGAGCCAGCTACTGAGCCATGACCACTGCCCCCCCCCCCAGGACGCTCATTAGGGGGAAGCTGGAATCAGGAATGGAGTCAGGACTCGAACCCGGGCTCTCCGATATGGCATGTGGGCATCCAAGTGCCATCTGAACCTTCCCTCCGTCCCCCGCCCTGGTGAGACACCCACCACTTTCCGTGTTGCTGCTAGCAGCCTTCCTAACAGGTGTGAGGTGGTATCTTGCATCGTGTAGTTTGCATTTCCCTAGTGACTCGTGGGATTGAGCATGTTAAAATGTGCTTGTGGCCACTTGTTTGTCTTCTTTGCAGAAACACCTGTTCACGTGCTTCACCCACTTCTAAATTGTTTGCTTCTTGCTGTGGTTATTTTAGGAGTTTTAAAAACATACTCAGGGCAGGGGGCCGAGGCTGTGGTGCAGCAGGTTAAAGTCCCAGCCTGCAGTGCCAGCATCCCATATGGGCGGCAGTTTGAGTCCCAGCTGTTCTACTTTTGGTCCAGCTCCCTGCTAATGCACCTGGGAAAGCAGTAGAAGATGGCCCAAGGGCTTGGGCCCCTGCCACCTGGTTTTGGATCGGCTCAGCTCCAGCCATTGTGGCCATTTGGGGTGTAGAAGATACCTCTCTCTCTCTCTCTCTCTCTCTCTCTCTCTCTCTCTCTCTCTCTCTCTCTCTCTCTCATAAATAAAAAATAAACCTAAAAAAAAAAGATACTCTGGGGCCGGTGTCAGGCGTAGCATAGCTTCAGCCTGGCCCAGCCCTGGCTGTTGCTGCCATGTGGGGAGGGAACCAGCAGATGGAAGATCTCTCTTTCTCTGTCTCTCCCTTTCTCCCTGTAACTCTGACTTTCAAATAAATAAATAGTTTAAAAGTATACTCTGGATATTAATTCCCTGTCAGATTTCTAAAATGAAAAATACACCTGGCTCTCCAAAGGCGGAGGGGACAGGGAGGAGAGCCCTGCACAGATACGGCCAGGGGGTCACTTCAGCCGGCAGCCAGTGGGGTTGAACCAAGGAGCAGCCCCTGTGCCGGCCCCACCACTGCCAAGTGCATGGTCAGCAAACACACAACCCTGGTTTTTGGAGGACAAGGTTCTTATTGCCCAACCGGGCACCAGGCAGGCTGTACCCAGAGTGCTTGACCACCCTGTTTGGCTGCCTGCTGCCTGTTGCCAGCCTGGGAGCCGACCCAGGGGATGCTGACAACGCCCTGCAATTAACCAGCTCCTCCCTCAGGCCCCGCCCTGGGAGCTGCACCTGCCCGCGCCTCCTGCCATGGCCGTTTTGCGGGAGGGAGGGGTTCCTGGGTGCTGCTACTCTGCCTCTTCTGTGACATCACACCTCAGTTCCAGGATACTCGGTTCTTTCGGATGCTAATGCACAGGACCACTGGCTTCATTCGGTCTGGACTGTCCGTTTCTGGTGTCCGCTCCTGACTTTTGCTGCGTTGGCCTTGTCGCTCGCAGCACTGCTGAATTCATGCGCAGCTCTGGGAGGTTTCCCGTAGATGCTTTGTCTACACCCAGGACGGTGTCGTGTTTGGATAGGGAGCTGTCCTTCCTGCTTTTCAGTTTGTTTACTCTCCTTGCCTAACCGCTTTGGCTAACGTGGTTAACAACCTGCTGAACATCAGTGCCTGGTTCCTCACCTTAGGAGGGAGCTCTCTGGCTGACACATTTTTATTAAGGGCCTGTTTTAGTTCAGGCTCTGGAGAGAGAGTGACACACAGGACAGAGGGAGGAGGAACGGTTAGGCAGGGCAGATGGCGGAAGGAGCTGAGGACGAAAAGAAATGAGGGGAGTTGCTGCAGGTTTTAAGCAGGATTTAAACCGGCAGTGGGAGGGGGGAGCCACAGAGGACTCTAGGGGAAGCGCATTCCCGGCAGTGAGAACAGCAGTGCCAGGACACGGAGAGGGAGTGTGTCTGGTGGGTCCGAGGAGCTGGAGGAATGGAGCTCTTCATGGTGACTTCCCCCAGACTCTCAGAGGGCAGGCGCTGTCTCCTGTCCCGTGTGCCTCTGCAGCCTGGCACAGAGTAGGTGCTCAATGTGTACTGGTGACACAGCCATGGTCCCAGAGTGCCCGCTGGGCTGGGCTGTGGGTGGTTCAGCTTTGCTTCTCCAAAATGAAGATTCGATCATTGGCTAGCGCCACGGCTCACTAGGCTAATCCTCCACCTGCGGCGCCGGCAGCCCGGGTTCTAGTTCCGGTTGGGGCACAGATTCTGTCCCGGTTACTCTTCCAGTCCAGCTCTCTGCTGTGGCCCGGGAAGGCAGTGGAGGATGGCCCAAGTGTTTGGGCCCTGCACCTGCACAGGAGACCAGGAGAAGCACCTGGCTCCTGGCTTTGGATCGGTGCAGCGCGCTGGCCATAGTGGCCATTTGAGGGGTGAACCAGCAGAAGGAAGACCTTTCTCTCTCTCTCTCTAACTCTGCCTGTCAAAAAATAATAGTAAAAAAAAAAATTCGATCACATAAACCCACATTTACCCAAAATGCCAGGCCATGGCCAGAAAAGGCAGGGGCGGGGCCTGAGTAAATCAGAGTGTGTAAGGAGTCTCTCTGGACCCCAGGGCCTTGCCTGAGGCTCCCAGCGCCAGGAGTGCAGAGCTGTGAGGCAGCAGGTGGCTCCCTCTTCTGCCTGCCTGGCTTGGCTTTGCTCACAAATGCTCAGGCCCTGAATCCATCCAGTGCCCCGCATACGGTGCCTTCAGCTAGGCACTCCACAGGGGCAGTCAGCGTCGATGATAAATCCTCCCGCCCTGACAGCGGCTCCTCACGTTGTTTCGTGGGTGTGTGTTTACGTCACTCTGCCATCAGCAGACGTGGCAAAGCTCACTTTTTAACCCTGTGTCAGCGTTTATTCATTTTATAGCCTCCCCTGGAGCACGGCGAGCAAGTGTGTACAAGTGTAACACAGAACTGCTTGTAGGGAGCACACTGGCGGGGGCAGGTGGCGCTGGCCACTGGGTGTGTGGGGACAGGGTGGACGTAGGCTGCCGAGAAGGCACTGGGCCTCTGCATTTTGAACCCTGGGATTCTTTGCCTACTAAAAAACAAATGGAAATTCTGTAGCTAAAAAGGAACTGAGGGCATACCGATGGCATTGCCCATTTTGTCCGGCTCAGGGCCACCCGTCTCGGCATCCGGCCACACACACGTGATTCCCCCTGGGGAAGGGGGGTGGGTCTAGTGGTAGCCAGCCACTTCCTCGCCACCCAGCCCCATGGCAGCGGGAGGGGGAGAGCCAGGAGAGGCCCCCTCCACCGTGCACCCTCGCCACAGCTGCCCCAGGCTGAGTGTGCACCCCCAAGCCCCAATCCCAGCACCTCAGAGCGAGACTTGTTTGGAAATACTGTTGTAGCAATGTTGTCAGTTATGCGGGGGTCACCCCCCCTCCCCCACAGGACTGGCAGCCTCCTGGAAGGGGACACGTGGACGCAGACACGATGCAGACACGCAGAATCCCACGAGAGTCTGAATCAGAGATCGGGATCCACGCTCTGGGAACGCCACAGAGTGCCAGGGCGGGATCCGCCCTCCCCGCCTGCGGGAACCAGTGCTGCCCCCACCTGGCTCAGGGAGGCGGCCTGGCTCAGAACCACCTGGACTCTGCAGCCCCTCTGCACCTGCACCGTCCGGGTTCCCCACCGCAGAGCCCCCTCCCCACCCGGTACTCACTGTCATCCGTCTTGCTGTCAGGGGTCACAATGAGCAGTTTCTTGGACATCCTGGCTGAAGCCAACGCAAAGCTGCGCCTCCCTCGGCTGAAGGAGCCCCTCACCTGGGGAGTGAAGGGTGCGTGAGTGCTGTGGTCCCCAGGCCCCCGGCCCCTGGGCATCTGACAACAGCAGGCATTTGCTGGGAGTGCATCACCGGGCGGACACCTGCCCCCTGCCTGTGTCCACTGCCCCTCACTGGTTCCAGCTGCTTCACCTTTCTGTTGGTTGAACACAGCAAGCCTGGTCTGCCTCTCCCGCGCCCGCTGGGGCTGGAGTTCTGGTTCCTCTCCCTCCATCCCGTTCTGGTGTGGCCCCTTCAAGGTGGTCGCCTGCACCCCGGCCCCCGACGGCCCTCGCCGGATTTCCTTTGCAATGACCACTCTGATCAGCTCTTGCGAAATAATCAGTTTATTGTCTGTTTCCCGCTGAGCCCTCGGCGCCATGAGAACCAGAGGTCCATGTTCCTGGAACCCCTTAACTAGGCATTAGGCAGAGTTTCATTTCTGCAGAGACCTGGCGAGTGCTCTCCGCTCCCGCTCCCGGGGCTGGGGCTTCCTGGATTTCAAATGCTCCCGCCATTTCCCGTCGCGTTCCGTGACTGCCCGTGCAGAGGGGCGCGGGGGCCGGCTGAGCACAGGTGCGGCGCGTCTGACGCCCAGCTCGGCCGTGTCCCCGGGTGGGAGGCCTCAGCCCCCCCACCCCCGGGTGCGAGGACAGAGGGGCGGGGCGTGCACAGGGGAGTGACAAGGCAGGGGCAGCGGCAGCAAACTAGCAGGGCGGCCTCGCCACGGGGCACCACGAGGGCCCGCCCCCAGGCTTCGTCCGGGCTCCGCGCGCCCAGGGCCCCCGCCCTGCGCCCTGCCCCCCACCCCCGGCCCCGCGACACCCACCGGAGGGCTCCGAAGCCTCCTCGCCGCCGCAGTTCTCTGCGCTGAGCGCGGGGCTCGGCGTGGACAGCGTCGCCCGGGCAACCGTCCGGGGCGGCTGTGACGTCACAAAGCCCGGGCCCTCCGCTTGTCTTCACTTGCTTGGTCCGGGGTGCAGCGGGGGCCGGCGCAGGCGGAGCCAAACAGACCAAGCTCTCCCAAGGGGCGGGTCTCGGGACGCGGAGCCCGGACGCGTAGCATCAGAAGTGCCGGGAGTTCGTTAGAAAAGCAAGTTTTCAGCTCCTCCCCTAGAATCGAGAACTCTGCCGGCCGCGTGAGATGCACCGGGACCCGCAGCGAGAGCGGCCGAGGGCGTCCCGTTCCCGGGCTCCTGCAGCCTCGGGGCGTGTGGCTCCCCAGCTCGCCGCCCTGGAGCAGTCTACAGTCCAGTGATGCAGCCTGGGCGGAGTGAGAAGGACCAGGTCCGCCGTGGGGGCCGCGGGGGCAGGACAGCGTCCACGCGGCAGGGGCCGCTCTGGGCTTTGTGCAGGGCAGAGGGCGGTCTCCTCGTGTTGAGCCACCTCATTCGGGTGTGCACATGACTAGGCATGGGTGTCATGTGTGTGCGCACACACGCATGTGAGGGTGTGGATTTGTAACAACAGCAAGAATTGAACAGCTGGACCAGAGAGGTGGGCCCCTTTACGCTTGGACAGAGGCTTCTTCGCAGCTGTTCTAAGCCCTGGGTGACCCGGCCGCCTGTCTCCCTCCAAGCTGGTTGAGGAGCAGAGGAGGACGCTGGGTCTCTGCAGCCCACGAGAGGCACTGTGTGCACTGTTCTCGACAGACGGGCTTAGGCCCCCCGTGGGTCTCCCTGTGAGCCCTGGGCATGCTTCCTAGGCATGGGAACTCCACGACCACCCGAGTGGTGGGTTCTGAGATTCTCCCCATGCTTCCACCAGGAGCCAGCAAGGACCCCGAGCTGGGGCTGACAGGTGGGCAGCAGAGGCTGTCTCTGCCCCTGCCTAGACACACGGTGCTGTCACCAGGGATTGACAGCTGTCCCAGCCAATGGTGCATGAGTGTGGGAAAATCCCGAGAAGTCTGAAGGTGAACTTGACAGTAAAGACAAGTTCTTGGGTGTGTGTGTGTGTTCCAGTCTTTATTTTGATGCTCAGTTGTATAGAAGGTTAGAAACACAACCATTAGGGGCTGGTGTGGTGGCGCAGCGGGTGAACATGAGATGCAATGCTGGCATCTCATGTCCGAGTGCTGGGCCGAATCCTGACTGCTCTGCCTCCAAATCAGCTTCCTGCTAAAGTGCCTGGGAAAGCAGTGGAGGAAGCACCCCTACCACCATGTGGGAGACTCGGATGAAGCTCTGGGCTCCTGGCTCAGCCTCAGCCATTGCAGCTATTTGGGGAGTGAACCAACAAATGGAAGATATTCTTTCTCTCTGTCTCTCTCCCTTTCAAGTAAATGAAGTAAATTTTTTTAAGTTTTTTTTAAAAAAAAATCTAGAAAATATCTGATATGGAAATTTGAATCTTAGCACAAGAACTCTAAGTGAAACATCATTTGCTGATGAAAGCCTATTGGTTTTTTTTTAAAGGATTATTTATTTGAAAGGCAGAGTGACAGTGAGAGGGAGAAACAGAAGAGGAGAGAGAGAGGGAGAGAGAGAGAGAGAACCTTCCATCGGCTGGTTCACTCCCCAAGTGGCTGGAGTCAAGAGCCAGGGGGCTTCATCAGGGCCTCCCATGTGGGTAGCAGGGGCTCAAGCCCTTGGGCCATCTTCCACTGCTCTTCCTAGGCCATTAGCAGGGGACTGGATCAGAAGTGGAGCAGCTGGGACTGGAACAAGGGGCCCATTAGCAGGGAGTGGAGTAGGTGGGACTGGAACATGCGCCCCTATGGAGTGGTGGCTTTACCTGCTACACCACAACACCAGCCCCAAAGGCCAATTTTAAAAATGAGATGGGTTGAGGCAGGGTGGACAGATGTGTGATAAAGCAGGTGTGGCTACATGTACCTTGAGGTGGGGGCATCACAGGTGTTCAAAATCCTTTCAACACTTCTGTAGGCTTGGAGTTTGAAAGTTTTCCTAATAAAATGTTTTGGGGGAAAACTAAGGATTTTAAGAGGGAAAATTTGTATTTCCGACTTCATATCATCCTCTTCAAAGAAAGCACCCTGGGGCTTCTAATACTTCATGGAAAAATGCAATTCAAAGATGCTGGTTTTGGCACAAACATTTTGTAATCCATGCATAGCTTTTTTTTTTCATACTGCGCATTTCTTTTTGAAGAGCCCTCCTATGTCAGTCCAGGTTCTTGAAACAAACAATGGAAATCAACTCTGGCCCGGGAAAGGGAGAAGGAGCAGGGGGCACTCCCAGAGCCCGCCGGAGGACAGGGAACCGGCTGGGAGGCAGACGCTGCAGCCCAGAGCCCGGCCCAAAGCCGGCGGCAGGTGTGTCCTGGTGGAGCTCTGACATGGTCCTGAGCCTGGCCCCGTGCATCTGGCCCCACAGCACCTGGCCCCACAGCACCGGGCTCAAGGACTCACACCTGTGCCTTCCACGTGCGTCTCTGGCTTCCGCCATGGGAGGGGTGGCCTCGGCCCGAGGAAGGGCATTCGGAGCTACCGGGATGACAGCACCCACGAGAGGTCCCACAGTGGCTCCTCCACGTCACAGGTCAGCTGCCCCTCATCTCTCTCTCAGAATGTCCCCTTCCCCCGGGGTCTCACTCAAACACTCCCTTTCTCACCCTTCCACCGGCATCTCCCAGGCCCCCTGGGCTCCCAGGCGGGTGGCAGAGGAGCAGGAGCAGGCCCTCTGTCCCCTCCCTTGGGCCTTGACCGTGGCTCCTCCGGGCCTGCGACACCCCGGCCACCCAGGGCCTCTGCTGCTCTGCTCTTGCTAATTCCCAGTGGCCTCACCATTCCCCTTTGATGTTCAGTAGCTTCCACGTGTGTGCAGCCAAGTCCCTGCACCAGATTCCCTCTCCTTTGAAACTCCTGGGGGTGGTTGTGTTTTCCCATAGAAGGCAGAGGCAGGAGAGTCTGGTGGCCAGGAGTGGACGGTGGCTTCTGTCGTTGCTGGCTGTGTGACTTTGGGCAAATTACTTATGTGCCCTGGGTATCAGTTTTCTCACCTGTGAAATGGGGATAACAATAACAACCTGGGAGGGAGGTCTTGTGGCGAGCACCCCTGGCCGGCTATAGTATATCATGACCTACAGGTGCATCTGCTTGCTCAGGTCCGCCTGGCAGCCTGGAAGCCTGCAGAACTGCCCGCCGCCCGGCTCAGCCAGGCTGCAATGAGTTCAGTGAGAAAGCTAAAGATCAGAGACAGGAAGCTGTTTGCCCAAGGCCACACAGCCCCTAAGTGTGAATCTCTGAGCTGGGGCTCACTCAGGCTGTCTGACTATGGAGGTCCAGCCTGTGCCTCTTCCCATGTAGCCTGCAGAGAGAGAGGCACAGCTTGGCCAGCTGGGGAGGGGAAGGTCTTGGGGCCTAGGGCTGCAGATTTACTCTGTGCTCACCCCAGGCCCCTCCTGTTGTTGGGGTACCTGATATCGGTGCAGCCTTAGAACCCAGGGCTGGTGCCGCTCCCTGCAGCAGACAGATCGGGACAGTGTGCAGTCAACACACGCATCGATCCCTCCAGGGTGTCTGTGAGCTGACCGTGAAGCCGAGTGGAACGAGCCCCACCGCCAGGGAGCATTCTTAGGACTTCCGTGACCTGCGCGGTGCAATGTCTTGCACGCGCATTTTCCTCGTGCTCAGAGGTGGTGGGATGCGGAAGGACTAAGCCATGGTGGTGGGACTTCATGGCCGCTCCAGGGCACCGTGCAGGCAGTACCACCCATGAGTGCTGGCGCTGCAGGCACTTCCCCCCTATACCTGGCAGGGACGCCCCACGCCGGGGGCTTGGGGAGAGGCTGTGAGGTCCTTCGGAGTGTCCAAGCACCCTCCTCTCCAGACAGGTGTCCCCCCTGCCCTTGATGGTGCACCCTGTGGTGCTCCAGCCCGGCCTGCGGCAGTCGTGTGACTCAGGCCGCCGTCCTGCCGGCTGAGATGGGTAGATCGCGGGATTGGAGGCTGGGGAAAGCCACAGGCAGGGGCCTGTGTGTCCCCGGGTGTGCATGTTTGACTCCGGTACCAAGAAACGGCGTCAGTGGGATCAGAAAGACGCTCTTGGCGTGCAGAGTAGGATCAGCGGGCTTGGATCACCTGGAAGGGCGGCCTGGAGGTGGCGTCATGTACTCTGGCTAAAGGGGAAGAGGACTAACTGGCAAAGAGGGGCTGCAAGTCGGGGCCTGCGTGGAGCAGGGGTGGGCGTGGGCTCAGCCTGGGCAGCGTGAGTGACCCTGTGGGATGCAGGACATGAGAGCAGTGGTTTGAGGGGCACCAAGAAGAGGCAGACAGGTGTCTACCGGGAGGAGGTGTGCCCTCAGCTCGCCTTTGTAGACGGAACCTTGCCAGGAGGGGGCGTCGCTGGCCACCTGGCTCCGGCGGCTCGTTCCTCTGGGGTCCTGCACAGCATCACACAGAGGCTGCTCCCAGCTGGGGACGACCCTGAGGGCTGCGTCCCCTGCGTCCCCCGAGCTGATGGATTTGGGGTGATGATGAAAAGGTCTGAAATGAGATGACGGCATGAGTCTGTGCGTTTATGGTCGATAGGCTGTCAGAGGGTGAGGCTTGAAGTCGGTAT